TGCCTGTTCTGCTCCCCGCTCTGTCTCTGGTGAATCCTATCACCCTCCACATCTCTGGCATGTACCCCAGTTCTGTATGAATAAATAAATAAATCCAAAAAAAAAAAAAAAAAAACCACAGCAGTGGTTCTCAGATATGGTTGTACATTGGAGTCAGCTGGGAAACTTTAAGAAATCCAGTGTCCAATCAAAGCAGACCAATTAAGTTGACTCTCAAGGGATGCGACCCAGGCATCACCTTTTTGTAAAGCTCCCAGGAGATGTTATGTTTATCAATGTAAAGAAACACTAGTTTAAAAGCTCATGAAGAGGATGCTTTTCAAGTCCCACCCCAGATCCAATGGGAAAATCTCAACAGTTAACCTCAGTGTAACATGAGTTCTCCTGAACCTGCAGTTGTGATTTTGCTAAATCATCCTCACTCACCTACAGCCTCACTCATCTTGCCCTTTCATCCATGCAATGAACAATGATTTGAACACTGATTATAAGCCAGACACAATGCTAGAAGCTAAAAATACAAAGAATTCCAGACAGGATTAGAACTACCAATGAGAATAGTAACTTCCATCTCTTCACTGCTGTATCTTCAGCATCTAGAACAGAGCCTGGAACATGGCAGGGGCCCAGTCACTATGCTGATAATAAATGCATGCAGACTCCTGGTCTCAGGTTCACATTCAGCAAGGGAAGCTGACATATATACTATATTGCTTACTTCAGGGATTTCTCTGGTTTGGCTGAACCAAAGATTTTCAAGATGGTAAGTGACAGAGAGACACAGAACCAGAAGCCATATAGGTGTGGAAAGACTGTCCAGATACTTGAAAAACTGAGGAAGAGAAAACTTATTTTTCTCCTGAGAGTAATAGTGTTTCCTTTAGGCTGACTTAAGCTAAATGCTGAAGAGCATTTAAGCAATTAGATCAGACTGTTTTTCCAAGGAGAGAATGATTCCTATTCCAGGAACAGATGGGTTCAGGATCACCTGGATATGAGCAGTCTGCAATAAAAGCAGCTCCCAGAGAGTGATTAAGGTTTGTGGTAAAGTTGAGAAGGAACTTCTACACAATTTTCTGGAAACCCTCCACAGACCACACATTGTGAAAGTGCTTTAGGTCCTCCTCCCTGTGAACAGAGGACCTGCCCAACTCTCACAACCACACCACCTTGAAGCATAATTTGAGGTCATTTTGTTGTGCTACTTAAACTTTAATGAGCAAATGATAGAAACACCCAGGGATCTTGTTAAAATGCAGATTCTGTTTCAATTATTGGGGACTGTTTCATAGTGGGGACTGGATGCTGTTGGTCCCCAGGTCATGCTGAGATATTGCTTTGGCTTCAGGAGAAGGGGAACAGGGAGCACTTAACATGGGAGATTACATCAATGCCATGTGAGCAAGAGAAAGAATTTCTGATAGCCGGAAGATATTTCCAGAGCTGGGTAATACTGGTCAAAATCTATAGCAGGAGGGTCCTCCCAGGTGGTGCAAGGGGTTAAAGCACAGCACTGTGAGCTATCTGTAGCCACTGCAGTGTGAGTTCCGT